TGGGATATATGAAGGGCTGCGCACATTCACATGTAATGCTGATTATTTATGCATATTCTTTACTCAGCAGCAGCGTGTGCATGTGTGTTTATGAACACTGTAGGACTGGCTACTAATGAGAAAGTCCTCCTTTACCAGAGCTGTAGTAATCTTCATCTTTCATATTTCATCACGCTGCACATTCTGATCACAGACATCAGTCAGCAACTCTTCCCTCCAGCATCAGGTGCACCTTCTGTCTGTTCTCTCGTCTGGCTCTTTCGTTCTCTACAACACTGGGTTTATAATCGCTCTGTAGTGTGGATACAACAATAGTGATTTCATATAACTGCCATATGTGCAAATGATGGGTTTTAACCAACCAGCAAACACATACACTCTATAGTTCTGGATGATATATGGAATATTCATGACATATTTGGAACGTTTTTGCTGGCAGGGAGCATTGTGTCCTATTGTGGCCTTTTTCAACATATGCAGATAAATACTAATCTTTACATCTCAGTGTTATATAGTGGCACATATAAACATAGATAGATTTTGTGTAGCTTGTCAGTCTACAGCTCTGTGTAGTAAATGCCGCTCCATCAGAAAGCACGTGCTGGAGATTTACTACTAACCACCAGAAGCGGCTTTACTGACGAGAGTCGCATGAAAATCGCATTCGATTTTTTGCCCAGCCCTACTTCATATGTTAAACATTTCAGTGATAGATGGGTAGAAAGACAGAAATCTATTGTGATAGATAATCTATTGTGCCCAGCTTGTGCAAACAGGCAGCTTTTACCAATCCACCATCACATACGCTTGCTCACACACACACACACACACACACACACACACACACACAAACACACACACACACACACACACACAGTCTTCTGACGGTGATTTTAGCTGCACATAGTGTTAAATGTCTCCTGCAGGTGGATGTGGCAGGTAGCCCAGTGTGATGCTGAGGAGGGAGGTGTGTGTTTACCCTGCTGCAGTACACCACTGATGGAGAGCTGAGTAATTGATATTTTGCTAAAGTCTAACTCAGCTCAGTGGGGGACTGGGCCACTGCCAACCACTGGAAACTAAACCTATGTCATCGATCAGCAACTCATTGTGTGTGAAACGCCTAAATGGAAATGGCATGTTGTAATTTCTGCCCACTGCCCTGTTATACGCATTAGCTGATCTTTGGAAAGGCCTTTCTAACAGCTTCAAGACGTAAGCAGGCGAGCGACGGGGAGAAGTAAACAGATGGAGTCTGTCTGCGGAGCATGTTTGCCGATAAGGAATGACTTTAGTGCGAGAAATACATTTGCAAATGTCTATGGGATAAAATTACCTGTCTGAATCACCTCATCTATTTGCATGCAGGGAAAGTGATGCTATATATTGGCTTTCTGTCAGGGGAGACATCTGTGTACAAGTTTTACATTTATGTCACTTATAAGTTGCAGCGCTCTAGTTGACACTTCCTGTCATTTTGGGAAAAGATACCAAGAGGAGTTTTTCTTTTCCAGGGTGGAACATGCAGTGCATTTTCAGGAGATCTCGAAAAGGCCTTGCTCTTCTTGAGCTCAGATTTAGCATGCTGATCATTGCAGTGAAATCCCTTTGGGGGAGACTCTCTTTGGCATTCAGGTGAAATCATTTGTTATAGCAGCAAGAACGGGACTGCAAAACTCAAAGAAAGAACTGCAAAATTACATTGAGTCACCATGTGTACTCAAGCCTTACAATCAGAGAAGTGAAACGAGACAAAATGAGGAAAGATGTGAAGGATAACAACACATGAATAAAGATGAGATGATTCACAAACAGAGAAGAGAATAGAAACAGAATGAGAACAGAAGAGAACAAATGAGCAGAGAAGAGATGAGACACTATATAAAAAAAACAGAACATGCTCAGAAAAGAAACAAGATGAAAATAGAAGAGAAGGAGAACGGGCTCAAAGAAGAGAAGACTTGATTATGCAATAAAACATAAATGAATAAACCCTCAACAGAAGCAACATAATTAGTGATTTATTCTTATTGTCGTGTTGTGCTTTATCTTCACGCTTGATTAGAACCATGTGTTCCAGCATGCAACTGTCAATACACACTGCTCAAATTTGAGAAAAAAACACTTTGGTAACAATCAGCCAAGAAAATCTGCTAGTCTGTGGATGAGAACATTGATGTACACAAAAGGACAGGTGAGAAATGATGCTCCCAAAATAATGAGATCACAGACGTAACACATAACCTACAAACCTGATTCCTGCACAGGTTCAGCCCACCTGCTGATCCGTGGCTCTGAACATTTAACGGCACACAGGACCGAAAGCATGAGAGAGCGTGGCCCACTTTCAACACACTTGGCATCGTATAAACCCACAACTTTCCTTCCTCTAACTGAATTATTCAATTCCCCAGATTACCGCGCAGATATATTACAATAGACACCCTGAGTTGTGCCCTGTGGTGCCGTGCTATGACTAGAACCGCCTTTATAAGGGGATGTTGAATTTCAGTGAGCTGTAACTGTGTACTAAAGCAAGCAGCCACATCGGCTCTTTGTCTCAGACCAGGGTTTGAACTGAGATTTATCACCATGTAGTATCAGCACCTCCATATTCCTCATGTTTGAACATGAATCCAGCTGCAGTGTACAGCATGCTCACATAATGACACATATCACCTCTATCTGTGTGTGTGCTGTAATCTACCGCAGGGTCACAGGGCCAGGCATGGAAAGATCACTCTATCAGAGCTGCAGGCACAGGTAATCTGCTCAAATGTGGCCTGAAATGAACTCGAATCTAGAAACACAAAGGCACATACACACACAACTCTTACCGAAAACAGAGGCAGCTATCAGAACGCTGCACATGTTCCAATCCTGTGGTAGAGTGTGTGTTTGTGTGTGTGTGTGTGTGTTTCTTCCCCTCACAGTCCTGTGAGATGGAGGGCTGATAAGCTTCATAACCATCAGCAGAATAACAAACCACTGAGAACAAAATGCCTGGTCTGGCTGAACTTCTTACAGTTTCCTACAGTCAGCATGTACCAAGATCCCAGTGATCGAACAGAAAACACCAATGAGAGGAAAAAGCAGGAATCATTTTGAGGAGTTTTTTGGTAAAATATATTATAGCAATATCACCTACTCAAGACTGTTGGTTCTTAATATCCACACAGATTCGGCCATAGGCACAGGATCACAGGTAATCACAACAAGTAATATTTAAACCAACAGTGTTTTTATGCAACAGTCCAATAAATAGAAAGTTAATATTGAGTACTTAGATATTAGACACATTACAGTTTTTTACAATCTCTAGGACACATTTCTCAATACTAAAGTCACTTTTTCAAAACTCTTCACACAGTTCTCCTAACCATCTTCCAACTTGACACAGCAGTTCATTTCACATTCAAAATGCACTAAAACTACCAAAACACTTCATTAATGTCTCAAATCAAGGCATTTTTTTCATAAGACTAGCAAAGGTTTTCACAAAACAAACACACTTTCTCACTCATAACACAACAGCACTAACAAAAGGTAGCATTATACAATGTATTCTTTTGTAAAATTTCTTTACAAAACAAGAATGATTATATCTTATATCATTGCAATTTATAATTCACTGCTGTATGTTACATGGTCCATGTTTACATTACAGTACAAAATTATTCCTAAGTTTTACCCTTTTGAATAGATGGTAATGAAAGTGAAAGACTAACACTTGTGAAGATGTTCAGTTACATGCAACTGCTTTGACAGTATTTGATTTTTTTTACATTCAGAATATTTTCTATATGATATTACTGTAGAAATGTTGCAAATTTCTGTCTTATTCGTTTTTTTTTTACTGTGCTAGGTTTTAAACTTAAGTTTAACAGTTTTGCAAAAAAGTATGTAAACGTGGAAATTGGCTTGTATAGTACATCAAGTTTTGGTGGTTTTTGTGTTGAAGTGAGAAAAGAATTCATGTAATCTGACAGATATCGTCAATGAATGCATTTAATGCCCAAGCAATGAAAATTGATCCACAGTTTAGCCCACACAGACTGATGTTGTGCTCGCTGTGTAAAGAGGTTTGAAAAAGTGACCTAACTAAGAAATGTTTCCTAGCGATTGTAAAAAACTGTAATGGCAGTCTATTTTTGCACTGAAATATTTTCAGATAAAGCCACAGTAAATTGAACCACTGTGCATCTCTGCGCAACACACGTTCAAATCAGTTGAACAAATCAGTTGAGGAAATAATTCAATAACTCACTCAAAAGAAAATCGCTTGATTTATTCCTGAACGAATCAGCATTTTCGAACAAATCAGCTGAATGAATGATTCAATGACTCACTCATTAAGAGAGTCCCTCTATTCATTCCTCAATAAATCAGTGCTTTGAATGAATGAGTTGAGTGCATGATTCAATCACTTGATTAATTCCTGAATACACCAGTGTTTTGAATGAATTGGTTGAGTGAATGATTCAGTGCTTAACTCATAAATACAGTAATTTGCTTAATTTCTGAATTAATGGGTGTTTTGAATGAATCAGTTCAGTGAATGATTCAAATGACTCACTCAAAAAGACAGTGGCTGCGTCTGAAATTGCATATTCTAATGACAGTATATACTTTGCCTACTATATAGTAGGGAAGTATGCATATTCGGATGCATCCAGTCACTTGATTCATTCATGAATGAATCGATATTTTTAACAAATTGGTGAATGGTGATGAATGAATGATTTAATTGACTCGCTCACTCATGAAGACAGTTGCTTGTTGCCACCTACTGCCATAAAAATGTTACCTGCAGGAAAAAATGTCACTGAAAAATCCCCTCACAATTTATGTCCTATTATTATGTTCATTTTACTTCTGAAATAAGGCATATTTATGTGGGAAACAGACTGGATGGTATAAAGAGGGTATTTCTTATAAGAATAAGAGCTGAATGTGAGTTTGCAGTGAATTGAGGGGGCTTTTTAACTTTGATGTGAAGGCTAAAGTTCAAGTTCCTCACCCAGAGCATCTCCTAGGTGACATCAACCGAAAAGGAATATTGTTTTTGATGTTGCAAGTTATTAATTTTTCTCCCTTGCAATAACATGTGCTGAAGACTCACGTGCAATAAGAGCAGGGATGTGTATTAATAAAGTAAACAGCATCATTTTTCATTTTATGTTGACTTTAATTAGATCTTCCTGCTGCATTACTGTGTTGGTAACAGGGTAACTTCATTCAACCAGTAAATATTTGCCAAAGCTAATAGTAATTATATGAGGAAACTCAAAGTTAAAAGGAAACTGCCATGAAAGGCTCTTTGCATGATCCGCCCTACCCGAGCTCTAGTTAGTCAGACCACCTGCTGAATCTAACTTCAGCTCAATTCCTGTTTGTCATGTTCTCAGAATAGTAATTATATGAGTGCCAAAGCACAACACTTAACAAGAAACTGAATGTGAGAGAAACCAAAAATGCTAAAGTGTTTCTTTGATTTCACTTCTGCACCATTCCTACACAATGCATGCAATGAATGGAAAAATAACTGCAGTTGGGAATCTTCATGAAGTGCTAGAACAATACTATGCTGTTAGAAAGAGAGAGTGTATTCTTACCTTCCAATACAGTGAGTTTAGCACTAGTGTTAATTTCTCCAGCGCTGTTGGTAGCTGTGCACTCGTAAATAGCCTCATCTCGATGTGTCCGTAATGGCTGGATCCGCAGGACGGAGCCTGAGCCGTCATCAAACTCTATTACCTGAAACACACAGGCCAGTCATATACCAGTCAAAGGAATAGTTTACCCAAAACGAATAAAATAAATAAATGAGTAAATAAATTCACTGCAAGTTACTGCATGGCTTGTATTATATACTAGTATATATAGTATATTGTATAATATGCTTGTATAATATAGTGCACAAGTTGTATGAACTACTTTTATGGTGATTTTTTTGACAGTATAAATCACCATCCACTTTTCTTGTGTGGACAAAAACATTCTGGCTAACATCTCATTTTGTGTTTCATGGGGGTTGGTAAAGGATGATAAACCTGCCATTTTTTGCAGTGCTAATTCTTGTTAATAAAAACATGGCAGAAATAGCAATTACCAGCCAAAATGTCTTGAGTACCAAAAAGTGATAAAACCAGTTGGAAACAATCTCACTCACTCTTATTATTACAGTGATGTTAAAGAGATCAGCTCCTGTACAGTATAAATTCACCTCATTGGATGTGTGAGACACAGAGAGTTAAAGTACATGAGATGCTGGTGCTGTCAGAGATCGTCTCGTTCACGCTCAATCAGCTCTGTTGACAGTGTGAGGAGGGTCATCTCAGGAAGCCCTCATGCCTGGGTTGCCGTCAGCTTCTCTCTGTTTTTAGCTTGACTGCCAAATTGAGATCAACCTGCGCTCCCCTGCTGCAGCCCCACACTGTCTACACTGATGTTGAAAACAAGTGCAACACTCCCTGGAATGAAATACTTCAGTTTGAGCTTATAAGCTTTCACAACAGAATAGCTTTAAAGGGGCCGTATTTTTGCCACAGTTCCGTAGCATCAATTTTCTTCACCTTTATATATTTAGTTAAGATTTCTTACATCAAAAACAGTCACAATGTGTTTTTCATGATCATCTGTACCTTAAGCTAACCTTCACACTGCTGCTCATCAAGGCGGGCAAAATTGCTGAATATCGAATAGGTGCTGACGTGTAAACAAGCTGTTAATGTGCTCAAAGTTAGCATCATAATTATAATTTCTGAGCCATTTTTGCAACTTAGTTTCAATAAATGGTGTAGTCCACTTGTATGCTGCACATACCAGTGGTGCCAGACTCTATGCTTTTGTTGCCTTGCTCTCTACTACTGTCTCCTAAGGCATCATAACGGTCATAAAACCTCAACTAGGACTGATCTTGAATATTCTACATCGGGAAAAAAATAGCAAATAGTTCTCCATAACTGAGTCTAGCTTTAGCATGTTGCTAAGTTAAAAATAATACCCTAATAAGCATACAACAGCACAGCAACAACATAAATACTTGATATAGTGTAATAGTAAACTTTGTAATTAAATGGAGTTATATAACACTCATATACAATGTTATATACAACTTAAAATAACACAATTTTAACACAATTTTAAGACCATTTCTAATCAATTTATCTTGTTTTCTAATGCTGCCTACTATTTGGAACAGGAAAGTTTTTTGAAGTCTGATTATGTGATTATGAATAATAATAATAATTATTATTATTATTACTACAGAAATAGCAATGACCTGATATTATGTCTTAAAACCCACTGATTCATCAGATTATTCATTATAAGATGATTATGAATGCTGCTTATTTTGGCAGCTCACTAGATTTTGGAACAGAGTTATATATACATTAAATATTTATGATAATTAAAATAATGATATATTATTTATAATAAATTAAAATGAATTTATAATTATTTAAAATGAATAATGTATATATAAATTATCATAATCATAATAATATGATAATGAATGAATTATAAATATGATTATCATAAATAATATGCAAATAATGACTTGCACTCTGTGAATGATTCATTACAAAGAACCGATTCATAAGAATAATTCATTTGTAAATCAGACTTCAATATTTTTGTTGTAAAGAGATACAAAGATATGATCATTATCATTTTAATGAATTTAATGAATTTACTTAATCTTTTTTAATTCACTCCTATAATATAAAGCAGACTCAAAACTAAGCTAAAATAATGCTAAAATCATGTTGCTATACGGTATATTTTAACTATGACCACTGTGTCCATGACCAAGACACTTAACATCAGTATGCTCTATGGATTATTCCTGTGATAACTGCACTGCAAACTGATGACATCTTCATAATGCAGTCCATGTATTGAAAGCCAGCCAACACCACTGCTCAGATTCAACCTCGGGCATCAGCACACCTCTCTACTCTGGCCTGATACAGCCACACAGAGGCTCATCTGGACCTGATGCTAATGCTGATGAGTTTATTGTGGCCTCTGTTATGCCCCAGACAGTCAGATGTGAGGTTTTTGGAGGAGTGAGCAGAGGAGGTCTGACAGGTCACCCTGCTCTCTGGCCAGTAGTAGCGAGCTCATCCCTCACTGTCCTGGCACTGATGCAGTCTTTGCCTCAGCTGGCACATTCAGCAGTGGTACAGTTGGCAATACAGGTGGCTCAGGTCTGCTGTGGTCACTTTAGGGTGACCGGATCTTGGACAGTCATCTGTCATGCTGATCTGCTTAAACCTTTTTTTGCACTGGCTAATATACTCTATATCTTTTCTAAAAACCATAAAATGTCTGTAATATCTGACAAATGTCACTGACACTGATGCAGTGCTCGGTAGATTAACTGTAGTCAGTTACTAATAGCAAATTACATGATAGAAGTTGTAGTAAGTAACGTATTCTATTGCATTACACGCATTAGGTTATATATTCTATAGACTACTTTCGATTACTTTTGGATTACTTCTGACCTAACTTGTTTATCACATTAATTTGAATAGGATAATCTTGAACCATACTGATATAAAAAAAGATATTCCATTTAGGGGGTACTTCATGCAAATATATTAGGTCAAGCAGGTTTGGATGCATTTTTATTTTTAATGCATTTAAAAGACAAGAGTCTTCCAAAGACATAGTAATGAAGTGTTAAAAAACTGCTCAAATGCTGTGTGGCCGCACAATTTTCTGTGTAATTTTTTAATTTTAGTTTCTTATTTGAGTATCATTTCATTAAAGAATAATTTCATATTTACATAATAATAATAATAATAATAATAATAATAATTTTTTATTACATGGATAGTTCACCCCAAAATTAAAATTATGTCATTACAGTAAACTGTTTTAGTTACTATTGATGTTACTATGATTGTATGAACAACAACAACAACAAAATACTGAGACATTTCCTCCAGGGGGATAACTGAGTGGCCAAGTTTGGCAGAATTGAATCTCTCTCAAACAGCAACTTTAATTTTCCAGTCCAAAAAGAAGTGCTGCATTTCTGTTATTGCCGTCAGCATTTTTTCGCCTTGCTGTCTAATTAAAAAATCTCAGTGACCACAGTTCTACCTAGGATCAACCCTGTGGTGCTCGCAGACTACATATGTAATTCAAGCTCACTGCACTTTATAGCTTGGTCAGTTCAGCATAATCTCTGTTCAGGTGTCAGCAGTGCTGTATGAACTCAAAGAAACACTCGACACTCGGCCTGGTGCACTCTACAGCTCAGAGCGGGACATGATAAAAGCTGAAACCCCTCACATGATCTTAATCAAAGAGTGCTGCTGTATAATATGGGATGCCTTGAAGTCATTGGTGAGGAGAAATGGTATGACCTCTGTTACATCTGATTTAATGTCGTGGCAAAAGAACAGCTGGCAGGAAGCAGGTCGATCTCCCATATGATGCTCAACTTCACATCTGATTAGAGCGCGGGCACAAAGAAAGCACATCTTATTATTTCAAACCCACCTCAAAGCGCTGAGAGCTGACTTTCTTGCCCTTCTTCATCCAGGTGATTCGTGGTTTGGGCTCTCCGACCGCCTGGCACACGAAGGATGCCACCCCTCCAGAAATCCCTGTCTGATCTTCAGGAGTCTTAACGAAACTCGGCATGCCTGCGAGAAAAAGAGAGACATTAAGACACTTTTACAAATGCAGGGGGAAAAAATCACAGATCTCTTTAATATATCATTTGTTTGCCGTAGATAGCAGTTCGATAAAATGGAGAACAAATGGAGAGTTAATTTTTTTCTCCTCTCAGTAATCTCAAATATTTTTCTTTTAGGGTTTTCAAAAGTGATCTCAATAAATTATAAAAAAGACCAAATCATGAACTTTAATTTCCTTAATTCATTCATTTATTTTTTTATTTACTTTTATTTTAACAGAGAACTTGAAAGACCAAATCATGATCTTCACTATCGACTTAATTGAATTAAATTGAATTTAATTTGGTAACACTTTACAATAAGGTTCATTAGTTAAACATTAGTTAATATATTAACTAACATGAACTAACCATGAGCAATACATTTGTTACTGTATTTACTAATCTACGCTAACGTTAGTTAATAAAAATACAGATGTTCATGTTAGTTCACAGTGCATTAACTAATGTTAACAAGATTTTAATAATGTATTAGTAAATGTTGAAATTAACATTATCAAAGATTAACAAACGCTGTATAAGTGCAGTTCATTATTAGTTCATGTTAACTAATGTAGTTAACTAATGAACCTTATTGTAAAGTGTTACCTTTAATTTTAACTGACCAGTAGTCAGGCCAGTAGACGACTAGCTCACCAAAAAATATGTATATATATTAGAGGTGCGACGAGACACTTATCCCACGAGACGAGACGAGACATGAGACTGGGTTCACGAGAACGAGACGAGATTTTTTGACTTTTTAAAAGAAATCCTCAATGATGAAATATATAGGGAAAAATTGTCTTTTATTCAACTGAAAAACACAAAATGCAAAAAAGTAGGTGCATTTTGAAATCAACTTGTACTTTATGAAATTAAACATCTATTTTAATAACTTTTATGCGGTAATAAACAACATGTAAACACTGCAAGATGTTTTGCCACAAACTCAACTGACAGACAAGTGATTGCACAAAAATTATGAATAAAAATAAATAATAAACAACATAAATATCCCTTTAAAGTGGAAGTGAAGCAGTCAGTCAAGTTTACATTATTTAGTAAACTGATTTCCACTTTAATAAAAAAACATATACAGTAATAAACACGATTAATGTATCCACTTAAAAGAATAAAGCAGTGGTCCCCAAACTGGGGGGCGCGGCAAGGCTGAGGGATAGTTAGGGCCCTATGAAATCCGTATATTTTTTTCCTAAATTCCATTTAATTTTTTTCCAAATTCCGTTTTTTCCATTTAAATTTTTCTGGATTCCATTTTTTTTTCTCAACTCCTTTTTAATAGTTAAATTAAATTGTATTAATTAAAAAGCATGTCTTATTAATTAAAATCATGAAACTTATACATTTTCACATCAGTTTATTAAAAGTTTAACAAAAATTACAAGTTTTGGGCCCTATGAAATGCTTTATTTTTTCTCACCATATTATTAATATTTTTTATTGTTACCAAATTCTGTGTTTTAGCATGTCTAATTATTTAAATGCATAAAACAACTTAATTTATTCATTTTTCTCTTAAAGTATCCATATTAATTTTTTCGCTAGTTTTACTCAAATCAAATGCTAAAATGCTCATGAAGTGACTCTCAGAGCAGTTCTGGAGGTATTGTTCATGTGTTTACGTCCTCATTTAGTGAGACGGCAGATGCTGAAATCACCGTGAGTGTCAGGCGTGCTTCAGTATGTGTGTAGTAAACGAAACCGCGCGTCTGCGCCATTCATTAACAGAGACAGGCAGAACATGCAGGATTCATATTTAAATTGACTTTTGCGACTTAATACTTACAGATACTAGTCCATATCGTGATTTGATTTAAGTGTAATGACCTACTTTTGATTAATTCATTCAAAATTTGACAAATTCTGTGACATTCCGCGTTAAACTGTGAATTCTGTTTTTATGACTGGATAAAGACTACACTGCGCAATTTTCCCACTTATCATGCGGCCACTTGCCTGATATAATATCTAAAATATCTTACATACCACCACTTGTGAACGAGCCAGTGTAATGCAAATATACATGAATGGCCCAGCCAGAGCCCTGACTTAAACTCAATTGAGCATCTCTGGGGAGACCTAAAAATGGCTGTCCACCAACGTTTACCATCCAACCTGACAGAACTGGAGAGGATCTGCAAGGAGGAATGGCAGAGGATCCCCAAATCCAGGTGTGAAAAACTTGTTGCATCTTTCCCAAAAAGACTCATGGCTGTATTAGATCAAAAGGGTGCTTCTACTAAATATTGAGCAAAGGGTCTGAATACTTAGGACCATGTGATATTTCAGTTTTTCTTTTTTAATAAATCTGCAAAAATGTCAACAATTCTGTGTTTTTCTGTCAATATGGTGTGCTGTGTGTACATTAATGAGGAAAAAAATTAACTTAAATGATTTTAGCAAATGGCTGCAATATAACAAAGAGTGAAAAATTTAAGGGGGTCTGAATACTTTCCGTACCCACTGTATATGAAAGGTCTGCGCGAGGATATCGTCACGTTCTCGCGAGACACATCGGATCTCTTCACACCCCTAATATATATATTTTCTCAATTTACTCACCCTCAAGTCATTCCATTACTTTCTTTTAAATTAAATACATTTACATTTTCATTTGCACTCTGATGGAGAACACAAAGCAAATGAGCAAAGTACATTGGAGAGTTGTATCAGGAGTGAACAGCAATCTCAGTCTGTTTCTCACACAAACTATCATATGACTTGAAAAGGATGGAAATATAGTGCATAAGTCATATGAACTAGTTTTGGAACACTTCAATTTTTTAAGCTTGAAAATACACAACAGAACCTTGAACATTCTGCATAAGAACGCCTTTTGCGTAACCAGGGATATTATAGTTAACTAAAACCATATAAATCCATTTTTATTACTTGAACTAAAATAAAATAAAATTAAATAGCTTTTATTTCAGCTAGCTGCCAATGCAACATTTCTCATTTCCATTTAGTTTAACCTGATGTACTAAGATAACCAAAAAACTAAAAACTAAATAAAAATGAATAAAAACTACAATAATAATATATATTTTTTAAAGTTAAATTTTAATTTTAAAATTAAAATTGAAAATTAAAAAATTATAATTAGTTCAAAATGTTATAGGTTTTACATATTAAATTATTATTATATTTTTTTTAAACTAGTATCTCATTGATCTGTAATCTGAGCTGGAATGACATTCTTGGGTGATCTATTCCTGTAAGTCTCGTGAGCTATGATGGAGCAATCGCTGAGCAATAAAACTGTCCTCGCTAGAAGCGTTGGAACAAAAGCAGATATTTTAACAATGTCTAAACTCTGCCTTGAGCTAGACCTCCAGGACGGTACAAGTAATGTTCCTCCATGTGCACTGGGTCACGTCCCTCATGGTGAGAAACAATAAATACGAGCAATATGAGGGAATTCTATTTCCCCTATTGCCTAAGCTCTTCGCTTGGCTGTACTCGAGATAAGAATAAACTGTTTATAAGCCATGAGAGCTTCATCTCCGAGGATGTATCAAAAGCATAATTAAATGCTCTGACAGAATACGAGCCATGGCAACCCAAACAAATTGAGCTCCCAGTCCACCGCCATCCCCTGGTGAAAGCGTGCCTGTAGAGGAACAGAGAGCTGACGGGAACGTAATTAAAGATTCCAGCCATCCAGCTCACCGCAGGGAACAACAGATATATCATAACGTGCGCTGCCTGCTTTGTTTACCTCTGTCTCTGGCTACAGATGCATAATGCAAACTGCTGGCCTCGCTGGAGACAACGTCTTCATCTTTTCTTTGGCAGGAACTGTCTTGGTCCCAGTTTCTGTCCAGGGGACCTTGTCATTTTGCCTTTCTCTAAATCTCTGGCTCTCTCTCGCTTCACGGCACTGATGTCAGCAGAATTGATGTCATTATGGTCGCCCTCGCCTGGTGCAGTGTGTGTTCAGAATGTAGACTGCCAACTGATTCTCTGACTTCACATGAGGTTTATGGCAACTTTCCACAAGACATTAATTATATCACATACTCATGCATACATCAGCTAAATGGGGACACACTACTTCTGTTGTTTTATATAAAGCCAATTATAAACACTACAGAATTGTGATATAGATAGATAGATAGATAGATAGATAGATAGATAGATAGATAGATAGATAGATAGATTATTAAATTTTTTATTTATTTATTTATTTTTTTAACTTTGAGAATATACTTTTTGCCAGAACTTCTGTTGACAGTTTTGTCTTTAAAATATAGTCTATATTTGTGTGTATATGTGTAAAATATGTATTGTGTCGAGTCGGCTGCCTCCCCCTAATTATCTGTCCCTTAATCGCCGCCCTTCGCCAGGCTCCCGACGGGAGTGGGTGCGTGAGAGAGGAGGGGCGCTGAAATAGCCAGGGCTGGCGGCGTGTGATGGGGACACCTGAACCGAATGGAGCCTCATCACCGCCGCTGTTTAAATGCCGAATGCGCCTATCCTCGGGAGACCGGTCTCTTCCCCGTGCATGCACGCTGGGGTCCTCGTGGGTCCAGGAGGGGTGCATAGAGGGACTCCCGTTCCGTGTCGTGAGCTACTGGACCCGCGGTCCGGAAGAGAATCGCACCCATTACACAGCCGTCGGGCCAGGATGCCGGGCCGTCTAGTCCCTTCACACGCCGGGGCCAAGGCGAGAAGGATGCAGCCGCCGGACTCCGCCCCTTACCTGGACCCTTCCTTCCTGACCACTGCCCTTCCCTGCACGAAGAACGCAGCACAACGAGGACACCAGATCCCCTGTTTTATTTTGGACACTTGATTCCCCTTTCTTCCTGGACACTTTGTTTATATTTCGTTAATAAAAACCTCTCCGAGGCCTGACGCCACACCCACGGTCTGTCGTGTGGTCGTCCCGTGACAGTATGTATCAAACCTACATGCGCATACACTCGCATATGGTGCATG